TCGGGATGGACTTCACCTGACTAGGGAGGGAAATAGACTTCTAGGATGGAGGCTGGCACAAGTGATTAAGAGAGCTTTAAACTAGGAATCTGGTTTAAAGATGGTTGGGAGATGTCCAGGTAATCTCCACGCCAGAATTTAGCATTGAGAGGAAAGAAAACGAAGTAAGAAAGGATACAGCCATGGGTAGGAGGAAGGGCAGTGTGGATACCAGTCTAATAGGTCATTCTGGCCGTAGAATGACCGTGCCTAATAGGGTACAGAATGTGAGTGAGGCCAAACAGCAAAAATGAAGATGTTTGTACACTAATGAGAGGAGCCTGGGTAACAAAATGGAGGAACTAGAGCTACTGGTGCAGGAAGGGAAACCAGATATTCTCGGGGTAACAGAAACAGGGTGGAATAGTCGTCATGACTGGAGTACGGGTATTGAAGGGTATGTGCGGTTTAGGAAAGACCGAAATGAAGGTAGAGGTGGTGGAGTAGCATTGTCTATCAATGAGGAGGTCGACTGTAAAGAAATAAGAAGCGATGGAATGGATATGACTGAGTCTGTCTGGGCAAAAATCACATTGGGGAAGAAAACTACTGGAGCCTCCCCTGGGATAGTGCTTGGGGTGAGCTAGAGACCGCCGGGATCCGATGTGGATATGGACAGAGCCCTCTTTAATGTTTTTAACAAAGTAAATACTAATGGAAACTGTGTGATCATGGGAGACTTTAACTTCCCAGATAGAGACTGGAGGACGAGTGCTAGTAATAATAACAGGGCTCAGATTTTCCTAGATGCGATAGCTGATGGATTTCTTCAGCAAGTAGTTGCTGAACCGACTAGAGGGGATGCCATTTTAGATTTGATTTTGGTGAGTAGTGAGGACCTCATAGAAGAAATGGTTGTAGGGGATAGTCTTGGCTCAAGTGATCATGAGCTAACTCAGTTCAAACTGAACGGAAGGATTAACAAAGATAAATCTGCAACTAGGGTTTTTGATTTCAACAAGGCTGACTTTCAAAAATTAAGGAAATTAGTTAGGGAAGTGGATTGGACTGAAGAATTTATAGATCTAAAGGTAGAGGAGGCCTGGGATTATTTTAAATCAAAGCTGCAGAAGCTATCGGAAGCCTGCATCCCAATAAAGGGGAAAAAATTCATAGGCAGGAGTTGTAGACCAAGCTGGAGGAGCAAGCATCTCAGAGAGGTGATTAAGAAAAAGCAGAAAGCCTACAGGGAGTGGAAGATGGGAGGGATCAGCAAGGAAAGCTACCTTATTGAGGTCAGAACATGTAGGGATAAAGTGAGACAGGCTAAAAGTCAAGTAGAGTTGGACCTTGCAAAGGGAATTAAAACCAATAGTAAAAGGTTCTATAGCCATATAAATAAGAAGAAAACAAAGAAAGAAGCTGCACAACGCACCTTCTGGCCACCTTCTGCAGCTCGGAGCTCTGGGAAGGTGGGGTGGATCGCAGTGCATCATGGGTGCAGGCTCTACGTCCCATGATGCAGTTTTTTCTGTCCCATCATTCCAGGGGCTTCCGACGGCCTGTCGGCATTTCTCAACTGCCCCTGTTTGCTGTGTGCCTGCCAGCTCTGTCTGAAGGGATGGAGCCAGCTCTCCTCTCTGCTGTTTTGGTCCCTGTTATGAAGCTCGCAACTCCAGGTTCCTATTGGTCGGCTGCAAATCAGTTTGGAGTTGGGAAGTCCACTGCTGGGGCGTGTGGCAACGTTAGTACTTCGTCGGCCCCCTAAGTCGGGGGGTGGGAGGTAACACAGCCTCTCTACGCTCAAGTCCATGTTCTAAACCCCTCTGTAATTAGCACAGTGTGACCCAATGGCCAGAGTCCATCTACTTCCACTTCCATAGTGGGGTAATGTGGCCTAGTGGCCAGGGTCCATACAATGCACCCCTAGGGCAGTACGGCCCAATGGCCAGAGTCTACCTAATTCCCCTCCCCTGATGGGGTAATGCGGCCTAGTGGCCAGAGTCTATACGATGCACCCCTAGGGCAGTATGGCCCAATGGCCAGAGTCTACCTAATTCCCCTCCCCTAAGGGGGGTAATGCAGCCTAGCAGCCGGAGTCCATAAAATGCACCCTTAGGGCAGTACAGCCCAATGGCCAGAGTCTACCTAATTCCCCTCCCCTAAGGGGGGTAATGCAGCCTAGCAGCCGGAGTCCATAAAATGCACCCCTAGGGCAGTACAGCCCAATGGCCAAAGTCTACCTAATTCCCCTCCCCTGATGGGGTAATGCAGCCTAGCAGCCGGACTCTATATGATGCACCTCTAGGGCAGTACGGCCCAATGACCAGAGTCCTACCAACTCACTGTGTGGGCCATCCCCTCTCAAAGGTGAGTGGCCGAGGTAGGGGGACCCAGGCCCGGCCCCTCCACCAGGTCCCGACCCAGGGCCCTGTTGGTGGCGAGTTCTCCTCACCAGTGGTCTGGTGGGGATCCTCCTGAAACACACCGGCCTGAACGGTCTCAGCACCGTTCCCCTTTAAGGACTCTCTGGGTCACTTCCTACCCCTTGCTCAGATTCTGCCAGATCTGTGGCATCCTCTGCCTCCCCTCTGCAGCGTGTCTGGCCTCTGCATCCTGGGTGCAGGCCTCTCCTCTGTTGGAGAGAGTGACAAGCCTCCTTCCCCTCTGGCAGTCCCCCCTGACTGAGCAGCTCTGCAGACTTTTATACCTGACTTCCAGACAGAGCATGCCTGGCAGAGCCTCAGAGGCAGGGCTTCTTCTGCTAGGAGGGAAGGATTAACCCCTGATGTAGCAGTGGGGGGTTGATCCACCCCATCACAGGGCTGCATTAATGCAGGTGTTCAGGACCATTAGCCGCATTGCCCTACGAAGGACTGTGACTCTTGGCAATGTGTGTGAAATAGTGGAAGGCTTTGCAGCAACGGGATTCCCTAACCGCTGTGGGGCGACAGATGGAACACATATCCCAATTTTGGCCCTGGACCATCTTGCCATGGAGTAAATCAATAGAAAGGGGTACTTCTCTATGGTATTGCAGGCACTTGTGGAGCACCATAGGCATTTCACTGACATCAGCGCAGGGCGTTGCATCTTCAGGAACACCGGCCTGTACAGAAAGCTGCAAGCAGGGACTGTCTTTCCAGACCAGAAGATTCCAGTGGGGGATGTTGAAATGGCCAGTGATCCTGGGAGACCGAGCATACCCCTTATACCGAGCATACCCCTTATTCCCATATGTGAAGCCTTACACAGGAAACCTGGACAGCAGCAAGGAGCACTTCAACAATATGCGGAGAGGGTGCAGAATGACCGCAGAATGTGTCTGTGGCAAATTAAAAGCATGCTGGCGCTGCCTTTGTGGCAGTTAGACCTAAATGAGGAAAATATTTCCATGATCATAGCAGCCTTCTGAGCACTCCATAATATTTGTGAGGCTAAGGGTGAAAAGTTTCCCCCTAGGGTGGAGAGCGGAGGCGGATCGCCTGGGAGCTGATTTTGAGCAGTCAGATACCAGGGCTATTAGAGGGGCACAACAGGTCGGGGACTATTCGAATCAGGGAGGCTTTGAGGCACCCCATTCACAATGAGGACCAGCAATGTGTCTTTCTATACAGCACTCCGCCAAGCTTTGTTAACTTGCTGCTTTGCATGAAAACTGTGATGATTCCTGAGTGGGATTTCTACTCCACAAATGATCACATTGCCACTGTGTATTAATCCCAGCAGCAGCCACCATGTGTAGGAGACAAATAAGTGTGTGTGCTACGTGTCCCTCGCAGTGCCTGATCCTAGGAGTCTGCTACAGCTCTCAGCTACTAGCTCTTAGTCCTCTAGTGCCGGCTGTGGAGGGTCATAATTAAGGCAACGTTTTAGTCATGGGTATTTTTAGTAAAAGACACAGATGGGTCACGGGCTGTAAACAAATATTCATGGCCTGTGACCTGTCCATGACTTTTACTAAAAATACTGGTGACTAAAACTGGGTGCGGGGGCTGCCCAGAGGCCCTGTGGGTGCTGGGGGAGGGTGGCCCTGTGCTGGGGTGGGCAGGTGGGGGTGTGTGACCCGGGACCCCTGCTGGTGATGGAGAGAGGGCGGGCAGCAGCGCATGGCCTGGGACCCTGCTGGTGCTGGGAGTTGGTGGGGCTGGCAGGCTCCCTACCCGGCTCCACGCCTTCCCCCTCCCCAGCAGCAGAGTTTGGGTGTGGGAGGAGCAGGGGATTGGGGCAAGGGATAGGGTGAGGTGGGCTCTTGGCAGTGCTTACCTGGGGGGCTCCCCAGAAGCAGCGACATCCCCCTCACTCAGCTCAGGGGGAGGCGTGGCCAGGCAGCTCTGTGCGCTGCCTCTGCCTGCAAGCACCGCCCCCACAGCTCCCATTGGCCGCCTCCCAGACAATGGGAGCTGCGGGGATGGTGCCCTGGGTGGAAGCAGGTGCGCAGAGCTGCCTGGCCACATCTCTGAATAGCAGCTGAGCGAGGGGATGTCACCGCTTCCGGGGAGCCCCCCCAGGTAAGCGCTGGTGGGGGGGGTGGGCATGGTGGCCTGGGACTGCCCCAGCAGTGGCTGGTGCTCCTGGTGCAGGGACTGCCTGAGCTGCCCCCGAGCCAGGCTCACCGGCTGCTGCAAAAGTCCCGGAGGTCCCGGAAAGTCACAGAATCCGTGACCTCCGTCACAAACTCGCAGCCTGAGTCACGATTCCAGCTCTGCGGGGCTCTGATGTTTACAGAACAGACAGACACGTCCCTGCTTTGAGGCACTTAGTGCCTGAGTGGAGATGAGACCAGGAGGAGATGACACAGGGAGGGTGGGCCAGAAAAGAGGAAACTCTGCTTATTGCAGATCTCTGGAGGGAGACCAAATCCTGTCCCTTATCCAAAAGGCCAGGCCCATCCTGCCTCCCTCTGGGGGTTCCCTTCCTCTCCTCCAGTGGGATCTGGGCGGTTCAGGACACAGTCAGAGGGGGCAGGATGGACTCGTCTACATGGGGGCCAGGAATGGGACAGAGGAGACATACAGAACTGCATGCTCAGGAGAGTTTATTATTGTAGTGGGATGCAGACATTGAGGGGAAGGGAGGGAAGGGGCAGGAGTGTAACTCGAACAGAGACACTTGGGGGAAGAGAGTTTGCAGCTGGGGAAGTGAGATCTGGTCTCTCAGGGAGGGAGGGGACTGGTCCTTGAAGTAGCAAAAGCATCCGAAGAAGCATCCGAATGTCTGGGACGTTGCCTGATCATGCCCAAGGAGCCCAGGTCTTTTGCATCCCAGGTGCTGAGCTCCCCCTTCAGGCGCAGGCGAGCGACTCCCCTCGCTAGAGTCCATACTTGCAAATGTAGGTGTTTTGCTTGTTACAGGTAATATCGTTCCATTTCTTAAAATCTAGAAGGCAAAACAGAAAACACTGGGGCAGGGGAAGGGCAAGTGGGGCCGTTCCTGCCCTTACAGTGACCCCCCCCCCCCTCATTGCACCCTGCTGAGAGATGACCCCACAGCTCCTGTGCAGGAGGCTGTGAGGATGAGGAGGCTGAAGGTGAAGGCCCATGTGCCTCAGACAGGGACAGGTTCCATCGCTCTCTGAGGGACGCTGAGTCAGCGTGACAGTGGAAGACCCTCTTCTATTGTGTTGGAATGTGTCTGATGAGAGCACAACGGGGCCTCTTGGTGCTAGGTGCTGTGTCCATACACACACTGACAGACAATCCCTGCCCAGAGAGCGCACAGTCTAAATAGACAAGAGGTGGGAAGGGAAACTGAGGCCCAGAGTGGAGAAGTGACTTGCCCGAGGTCACCCAGCAGCTCAGTGGAAGGGCTGGGAATAGAAGCCAGGTCTCTGGAGTCAGAGTCCCATACCTGTCCACTAGACGACGCTGCCTCTCGATCTGCGACTGCTGTTACCACCCATCCCCCCCCAACACCCCTCAAAAGGCCAGAAAGGAGAGCGTGAGAGCCCTGGCTAGGTGCCAGCAGGGAGACAAGCTCAGGAAGTGTGACACCAGCTCGCTCTGTGCTGAATGCGCCGGCCCTACCTCCATCTCCTGCACATCTGGGTTTGTGTGTGGCCCAGGGGCAGCATCTCTCCCCAAGGGACAGCACAAAGGATTCTGGCTGGTGAATCTTGCCCATATGCTCAGGGTTTAGCTGATCGCCATATTTGGGGTAGGGAAGGAATTTTCCTCCAGGGCAGATTGGAAGAGGCCCTGGAGGTTTTTTGCCTTCCTCTGTAGCATGGGGCACGGGTCACTTGCTGGAGGATTCTCTGCTCCTTGAAGTCTTTAAACCACGATTTGAGGACTTCAATAGCTCAGACATAGGTGAGAGGTTTTTCGCAGGAGTGGGTGGGTGAGATTCTGTGGCCTGTGTTGTGCAGGAGGTCGGACTAGATGATCATAATGGTCCCTTCTGACCTTAGTATCTCTGAATCTATGAATTGCTGTGAACTTCACCCTTTCTCCCGTTTGCAGTGCCACAGAGCCCTGGGAGCGTTATTCAGAAATGGTACCCACACTGGCTTTGCAAATTTTTCACTTTAACGATTTGCTGAGTGTGTGATTGGTCATGCAGGTCACATGGCATTGCTCCCGCTCCATGATTGGATGAATGACTCTTTTTCAGTAGGAGATAATGGAAAAGCAAATCCTGCCCAGTGTGAGGTTGAGGGAAGGAGCATTCGTGCCAATGCTCCTGAACACTCAGACTCAGGAGCATCTGAGGCTGGGCGAGTCACGTGACTAGCATGGCCCATGAACAATGATCGGGGGAGAGCCGTATCCGTCTGTATCCACAAAAACAACCAGGAGTCCGGTGGCACCTTAAAGACTAACAGATTTATTTGGGCAGAAGCTTTCGTGGGTAAAAACCCCACTTCTTCAGATGCATGGAGTGAAAGTTACAGATGCAGACATAAATATACTGGCACATGAAGAGAAGGGAGTTACCTCACATGCGGAGAACCAGTGTTGACAGGGCCAATTCAATCAGGGTGGATGTAGTCCACTCCCAACAATAGATGAGGAGGTGTCAATTCCAGGAGAGGCAAAGCTGCTTTTGTAATGAGCCAGCCACTCCCAGTCCCTATTCAAGCCCAAATTAATGGTGTTTAATTTGCAAATGAATTTTAGTTCTGCTGTTTCTCTTTGAAATCTGTTTCTGAAGTTTTTTTGTTCAAGTACAGCTACTTTCAAATCTGTTATTGAGTGTCCAGGAAGATTGAAATGTTCTCCTACTGGTTTTTGAATGTTATAATTCTTGACGTCTGATTTGTGTCCATTTATTCTTTTACGTAGGGACTGTCCGGTCTGGCCAATGTACATGGCAGGGGGGCATTGCTGGCACAGGATGATATATATCACATTGGTAGATGTGCAGATGAATGAGCCTCTAATGGTGTGGCTGATGTGATTAGGCCCTATGATGGTGTCCCCTGAATAGATATGTGGACACAGTTGGCAACGGGCTTTGTTGCAGGGATAGGTTCCTGGGTTAGTGGTTCTGTTGTGTGGTGTGTGGTTGCTGGTGAGTATTTGCTTCAGGTTGGGGGGCTGTCTGTAAGCAAAGACTGGCCTGTCTCCCAAGGTCTGTGAGAGTGAGGGATCGTTTTCCAGGATAGGTTGTAGATCGTTGATGATGCATTGGAGAGGTTTTAGCTGGGGGCTGTATGTGATGGCCAGTGGCGTTCTGTTATTTTCCTTGTGGCGCCTGTCCTGTAGTAGGTGATTTCTGGGTCCTCGCTTACAGACAGCCCCTGAACCTGAAGCAAATACTCACCAGCAACTACACACCACACGACAGAACCACTAACCCAGGAACTTATCCCTGTAGCAAACCTCATTGCCCACTCTGTCCCCATATCTACTCATGTGACACCATCAGAGGACCCAACCACGTCAGCCACACCATCAGGGGCTCATTCACCTGCATGTCTACTAATGTGATATATGCCATCCTCTGCCAGCAATGCCCTTCTGCCATGTACATTGGCCAAACCGGACAGTCCCTACATAAAGAATAAATGGACACAAATCGGACATCAGGAACGGTAACACACAAAAGCCAGAGGGAGAACACTTCAATCTTCCTGGACATTCTGTAACAGATTTAAAGGTAGCTGTACTTGAACAAAAAAACTTCAGAAACAGACTTCAAAGAGAAACAGCAGAACTAAAATTCATTTGCAAATTTAACACCATTAATTTGGGCTTGAATAGGGCCTGGGAGTGGCTGGCTTATGACAGAAGCAGCTTTGCCTCTCCTGGAATTGACACCTCCTCATCTATTGTTGGGAGTGGACTACATCCACCCTGATCGAATTGGCCCTGTCAACACTGGTTCTCCACTTATGAGGTAACTCCCTTCTCTTCATGTGCCAGTATATTTATGTCTGCATCTGTAATTTTCACTCCATGCATCTGAAGAAGTGGGGTTTTACCCACGAAAGCTTCTGCCCAAATAAATCTGCTAGTCTTTAAGGTGCCACCGGACTCCTGGTTGTTTTCATGAACAATGAGTCACTCATGAATTAGCGAGTGAGCTTTCCCTGTTCACCCAGCTCTCTGTCCTATTGCCAGCAAATGGGATGAGACCCTCAGCCCTTCTCCGCCCCCCAGGCCACTCCAGCAACACGGATAGCTGGAAGCTGGCTTAAACGGCCAGCTGGGGATTCCTTGTGCGTAGGGAAACCCAGCTGAGACAGCTGCCCTGCCCAGTCCTGGCCCCCGCAGCATAAGGGACAGGCAGGGTGTGGCGGAAGCCACTGAGCTCTGGCCATCCAGGTTGTTACTGCCACAGTCAGAGCAGCCCTGAGGTTGCTCTAAATTGCCCTGGGGCCCAAAGAGCCCCCTGGTTGCCTCCGGAATCAGGGTGGCAAAAGCCACCAAGGCACCAACTGAAGAACCCATGCCCCACCTATGTGGCCCCTAGTGGGCAATTCCTCTGCTCTGGTCTTTCCCTTTAACTGAGCATCTGGGGCCAAATGTACGGCCTGGCCTGCCTCGGACTGGAGCTGAGCCGAGCCTCAACCTGGGACGCGTGGGGGAGGAGTTCCCAGGTGAGATGAGGGGATTATCTCTGGAGCGCAGCAGTGTGAGCTGAGAGAGAGAGGCAGGGTGCCTGGACAGGAGGCCATCTCTGCCAGGTCCTGTCTTGGCTCCTTTGTGGGTGAATGTGTGTTTGAGCTGTCTGCTTACCCCTGTCGTTCAGCAGCTCGATACAGTACTCAGCGTTACGCACATTGTTTGGTTCCCCAGGGTTCCAAGCACTGTAATGATACAGCGACCCATCTGTCCACTTCCAGCAATTGTTCTGCAGAGACAGGGAAGAAAGGTTGTGGGGTCCCGGGGAGAAGAGACCTTGGTGATAAGGCACCATAGAAACACCTGAACCCAACAAAGATGTGCCCTACTCAGGCAGTGGGAGGGAGTCGGGGAAGGTCCGTGGGGCAGTGGGTGGGGAGAGGCCAGCTCAGGGGAACAGGCCCTGGAGACCCTGATCCAATAGTAACACTTAGCACATAAACTTTACCTTCTGCCTTCCAAGCTCTTTGCCTGAATTAACAAAACTCCTCGTAATGGAACAGAGTCGCTCGAGAGTATGTTCTAGTCCCTAAACCCCATGGGCACAGCCTGCCATGGGGCACTGGTGGTTTTAAGCTGGGTGATCTCATCTTGTTTAAGCAAAAGAAAAGTGCACCTGTGATGGAGATGCTGGTTGGGTCAGGGAATGGGATACAGGGCCTATTCTCCTGTAGTGGGCTGAGCACCAGTCTGGCCCCAAGTTAGCAGGACTGGCTAGCTCAGTAGAATCAGAGAAGGGGACATGGGGACTTTCACCTCTAGGGGTGCTGGCTCTGGCTTTGGGAGACAGAGTACTAGATCCAATCTCTTTCCAGGCCAGGGGGAGCTAGATGGATGAGGAGACTAGAAAATGGGATACAGAGCCTCACACGTTTCCGGCTCTGGGTTCAATCGAGCCTCAGGTCTGAGGAATCATTACCTGTTTGATCATGGATAAATTCATGGAGGTTAAGTCCATTAATGGCTATTAGCCAGGATGGGTAAGGAATGGGTGTCCCTAGCCTCTGTTTGTCCGAGGGTGGAGATGGATGGCAGGAGAGAGATCACTTGATCATCACCTGTTAGGTTCACTCCCTCTGGGGCACCTGGCATTGGCCACTGTCAGTAGACAGGATACTGGGCTGGATGGACCTTTGGTCTGACCCTGTGTCATAAATATAAAGGGAAGGGTAACCACCTTTCTGTATACAGTGCAATAAAATCCCCCCTGGCCAGAGGCAAAACCCTTTCACCTGTAAAGGGTTAAGAAGCTAAGAGAACCTCGCTGGCACCTGACCCAAAATGGCCAATGAGGGGACAAGATACTTTCAAATCTGGAGGGGAGGGGGGGACAAAGGGTTCGTCTTCCTGTGTGATGCTTTTGCCGGGAACAGATCAGGAATGCAGCCTTACAACTCCTGTTAAGTTAGTAAGTAATCTAGCTGGAACATGCATTAGATTTCCTTTTGTTTAATGGCTGGTAAAATAAGCTGTGCTGGATGAAGTGTATATTCCTGTTTTTTGTGTCTTTTTGTAACTTAAGGTTTTGCCTAGAGGGATTCTCTATGTTTTGAATCTGATTACCCTGTAAGGTATTTCCCATTCTGATTTTACAGAGGTGATTCTTTTACCTTTTCTTTAATTAAAATTCTTCTTTCAAGAACCTGATTGATTTTTCATTGTTCTTAAGGTCCAAGCGTTTGGGTCTGTGTTCACCTGTACCAGTTGGTGAGGATTATTATCAAGCCTTCCCCAAGAAAGGGGGCATAGGGCTTGGAGGGATATTTTGGGGGAAGACGTCTCCAAGTGGGCTCTTTCCCTGTTCTTTGTTTAAAACGCTCGGTGGTGGCAGCATAGGGTTCAAGGACAAGGCAAAGTTTGTACCTTGGGGAAGTTTTTAACCTAAGCTAGTAAGAATAAGCTTAGGGGGTCTTTCATGCAGGTCCCCACATCTGTACCCTAGAGTTCAGAGTGGGGAAGGAACCTTGACACACTGTATGGCCGTTCTTAATGGGATCCATAGCCTGTGTCTGTGTGTGCTGTTCAGGGGGCCTCCTGACCCCAGCGCCCCCACGAAAAGTTTGGATGAAAAGGAAACTGATGGAGACAAAGCTTCAGATGGAGCTTGACAAGTTTACAAAGGGGATGATATAGCAGGGTTGCCTGCCATAGCGGGGGCTGGACTCGGTGAGCCTGCAGGTTCTTTTCAGTCCTATGTTCATGTAAGCAAGGCTTGAATGAGCTCTGCCCTGACAACTAGTGAAGAGCTGGGCTTCAGGACCGGACCGTATTTAAATGAACAAACCCAGTCTGGCTAGGTATGAGCAGACAGAGCTGGGTTGGCAAAGTGATCAACTCTGGCTGGTGTTGGGTTACAAATCGCTTTAGTACTGAATGTAGGCTAATGAAATGTTGTAACCCTTACTGTATCAGGAAAGGGCAGCAGAACGGTGCTTAGCCTGCCCTGACTGAGGAGGTCACCCTCAGCTGAACTGAACTCGCTAACCAGGCGGCTCAGATGCCAGACCCTGTGAAGGGTGAGAGGGGGTGGGGATAGGTGTCTTCCCTAGAGGTAGGGGCTCTGCCTAAGAGTCTTAGGCATGGTTTAAAATGCCCCTCCTACTGTTCAAAGACAGAGCTAATTAAGGCTCCATTAGGGGTCTTTTTTTTGTTAAGCGATCACTACAGCTGAAAACGTCTGCTGTGGGACAGCGTTTCTGCCAAGCCTGCTTCAGCAATGAGGTTCTCCACGGAGAGCCGAAAGTCACTGAGAGCCGGGCGGAACCTCAGCAGACCAAGCTGTAGAGATCACAGAAGAGAGGCAGGTGGCAAGAGAAAGTGGCGGTGTGCGTCAGTGACAAGCGGCACAGGAAACAGCGGGTGGGCCTCAGCAAACAGTGGAGCAGAGAGGTGGCCGCCGGGCAGGGCAGATGATGCTAGAGCAAGGGCCCGGATGGTGGAGTGAACAAGATGCCTTCTCCTTCCTATCCCACGAGGCTGTGAGGTGAACACGCAGATGCACCTCTGAACTCAGGGTGTTCACTGACTAAGGACAACAAATGTGAGTGGGGTGCGGTAGACAGAGAAGGGAGGGGTACTGTGACACTGCACCCCATATTCTTCATAGTGATAGGATTATAGCATAATTATGATGGATTTTATGCAAGATAAGTCATGTGAGGTGTGACTGGAAAAGTTATGATTTGCTGAATATGATTATCCTCTTTGTATACATATATAGTTTTTCTATCTGAAGTTATAAATACTGACTATGTATCTGTACTTCAAATGTAGTTACACCTGGGTATCGTCCACTAGACAGCATGCTTTCAGTCTAAATAGCTGGTTGTAAAGGGCTTATTCAGGGTTATGGGCCATTAGAAAGAACAATAGGCCTTAAGAGAAGCTTATCCCCCACCTGATGAGCCTTCCTGAGAATGCTAGAGACAGCCTGTGAGTGATGGCTGCTATGACTCTACAAGGACATGTGACCAGGCCACATGATGCTGGACTCCATCTTGGGATATCAGTATTTTTCCACAAACCGCTCTGGGAACCAAGCTTTGAAACAAAAGGTTCCCACCCTATGCTAAAGGCAGAGAGTGACATCATCTGTGGTTCTTCACTCCCCACACAAGGAGACTCCTGGAAACATCTGAGGAAAAAAGACCGAACTGGGGGAAGTGCTGGACCCAGGCTAACGGGATTTCTAGCCTCTGTATGAAACACCTAGGAATTCCAAGCTGTAAAGCAAGCATAGTTTGTGCCTTGAGACTCTAAAGTCTGTCTGTGCCATGAGTAAGGGTGAGAATCTGCTAATTCATATCCAATCTATTTAGTATATTAAGCTTAGTTTGCTTTATTTGCTAGGTAATCTGCTTTGATCTGTTTGCTATCACTTATAATCACGTAAAATCTATCTTTTGTAGTTAATAAACTTGTTTTTGTTTCACTCTAAACCAGTGAGCTTTGACTGGAGTGCTTGGGGGAAGCCTCTGCTTGGTTACCACAAGTGTGCGTTTTCCTCTTCACGTTGAGGGAGCGTCGGACCGGGTAATAAACCTTTACACTGGCCAGATTTGACCAGGGCAGGACGGTGCTGCTCTGGGGTCCTAGGCTGGGAAGCTGGTTGTCAGAGAGCCTGTGTGTAACTGCAGCAGGGTGTGTCCCTACCTGTGTGAATGCTGGTGAAAGTGCAGACTGGAGGGCTTTGCAGCTTGTCACAGCAGTACAGTGTGAGAAGAAGCCCAGGCCAGTGAGTCAGGGTGCTCAGTGGTACCCCAATTCCAGGTGGCATCCTAGAGGGGAACCCATCACAGGTAAATGAAAGGGTTTTGGACTCAACCCTGAAACAGAAGGGCGCTACCCAGCACACTATGGGGTGGGGGGTTTGTTCATGGTTTTATGTTTAGGAATCCTGCTTGTGGCGTTTTCCCAAATTAATGCTGGGTTCCTTCCCTCCTTCTATTAAAAAATTATTTTCTACACCCACACTTGGTGGGTATGAGAGGAGAAGTATGGCCTCTTAGAGGTGCCCAGGGGTGGTGTGTAATGGTCCCAGGTTACCAGGTGGGGGCTCGAGCCAGTTCTGTGTTATATTGTTAAGAGGAACCCCTACATATTGAACCCAGGCCTGGTTGCTGTCAACTCCACCTGGCAGAAGCGTTACACTTGCAACTGCTACGTCCCCATCTGGGGCCTCCTTCCCAGCCTGTGACTGCTCCCCCTTCATCTCCCTGCCCTAAGGAGCTGGGGGCTCTCCTAAGGAGAAGCAGGTGATGACACGATCCCCAAGATGAGGGAGCAACCAGCAGTGTCAGGGGCAATCCAGAGGTCACTGGGGAGCAGACACTCAAGTTTTGGGCAGGAAAAAGTCGCTAAAAAACTTGGTGAGGGTGGAGTGGAGATGGGATGTGGGGGGGGGGGGGGGGCACTGCACATTGCATGAAGTGGGAGAGGGGAAGGGAAATCGGGCAGTAGCTGGAGAGGCAGGTTCAGGTCAAAGGTTCATTTGATGACCAGGGAGACCAGGGCCTGGTTGTATTTAGAAGGGAAAAGCCAAAGGGGAGTTAGACCTCAACGTAGGATGGAGATGGAAAGGGTGCAGGAGGGCAGGGGTTAAAGGTGGAGTGCAGTGGGAGATGCTGGTGCCCATGACAGGGAGAAGGGGAGAAGGAATGGGGGAGGGAGATCCTGGCAGCTCCTATGAAGGGTCCATGGAGCATGGTCTCTGCAGAGTGCCTGGGAAACCTCCAATAGGAGAAGCAGCTGCCAGAGGCCAAAGCCGGCTCTGGGCACTCACATGCTGGGGGTTGTGGAGTCCGATCCACACAGAATCCTTGGAGCGTGTCATCTGGATGTATCTGGCCACCACGTTCCCTTCTGCCTCATTGAGAATGGAGGCGAGGTGGGCCCCCTTGCGTTGATGCTGACACTCCACCTGTGGCAGGGACATCGGTGAGGCCTGTTACCCCCCTGCAGGGGGCGCTGTTTGGCACTGGTGTGGGGTCCTGCCCCACCAGGCTGCAGCAGGAGCAGGGACGGCTGTGAGGAGAGAGCCCCCTCTCGGTGCCTGTTCCCGAGCCCCAGGGCCTGGCACCAGCCACGTCACCTCAGCAGCCTCCCCACCCCACCGCTGCAGAGAGACACCCCCAGACAGGGACAGCAGGAACAGCTGCACAGTGGGGGTGCTGAGAGCCACCGAACCAAGCCGCGAACCCTGGGTGTGATGGAAACCACTTCAAGCCGGGGGTGCGGCTGCACCGCCCATAGCCCTAGTTCCAGCACCTGGGCCCAGGGACCAGTGGTGACGTCACCAACCCCTCCAGCCCCCCCCCCCCCCAACTAACCCACACGTCCCCAGGGGCCCCTGAGAGGAGCCTGGTACCTCAGCCTCTGCCCAGGTCGTTTTTCCGGGGAAGAACCCATAGCAATGGTGATGGTAGTACAGCCAGCCACTGGGACAGGACCTGGCCTCGGCTCCTGATCCGAGAGAGGAGGCGGGATGGGGAGAGAGGAAATGGCGGGGAGAGGCTGTTTCGGAGAAGAGAATGGGATCGGAGCTGTCAGTTGCCATCATTCCAGCTCCTGCAGATCTCAACAACCCTCGGACCGTTTGCCTTCTCTCAAAATGGCCACTGTCTCCTGTTACTTTCCATGGAGCTGAAGCCACTCAGTGAAACCGGCTGCCCCCCCCTTGCCCCCTCTGTCTGTGGCAGTGAGGCTGTCCTAGTGAACATTACCACTGTCTCCCTTCCCAGGGGGACAGGAGCTGGGCTGCCCTCAAGGAAGATGGTCGCCTCCTATCTTCTGTGCAGGGGCACTGGGGAACCTGATGGGGCGAGGTAGCAAGGGGGTTGAGTCAAAGTATACAGGGGGTTATGGGGTGAGGTGGGCAGCACTGGGTGTCATGGGGACACTGGTGGGACTGGGAGCAGAGGGGAGGTTGGGGGCATTGTAGTATATTAGAGGATGAAGGGACGCCACACACTGATTTGCCAACCTACTGAGGAGGGCTTTAAACTGGGCTGAAAAGGGGCAGTGACAAAATCCCACAGGTGACCTTAACAGAAGATTAAATGTTGGGGGAGGGGAAATGGAAAATTACAATGGGGTCATATTTCAGAGTAACAGCCGTGTTAGTCTGTATTCGCAAAAAGAAAAGGAGGACTTGTGGCACCTTAGAGACTAACCAATTTATTTGAGCATGAGCTTTCGTGAGCTACAGCTCACTTCATTGGATGCATACTGTGGAAACTGCAGCAGACTTTATATATACACAGGTCATAGGAGCAACAAGAGGGATAACAGGGTGGGAATCTGCTCTGCATCTCAGGTGTCTATACACAAACGCAAGGACTATGGGGAATAAACAGAAGAACAGGAAGTATGAGTATATAAGCTAAATCATGACTCAGTTGGCATCACAGGGACTTGGTGGGATAGATCTCATGACTGGAATATTGGCATAGAGAGGTATGGCTTGTTCAGGAGAGACAGTCAGAGAAAAAAGGGAGGAGATTTTGTATTAGACATCAAGAATGTATACACTTGTTCTGAGGTCCAGAAGGTGAGAGACAGACCAACTGAAAGTCTCTGGGTAAAGATAAAAGGGGAAAAAAAGAGGGGTGATGTCATGGTAGGGATCTACTCTAGATCACCAAATCAGGGGGAGAAGGAGGTGGATGGGGTATTTCTAGAACAAATAACAGAAATATCCAAAAGACAAGACCCCTGGTACTAATGGGGGGACTTCAGCTTCCTAGATATCTGTTGGAAAAGCAATATGGCAAAACATAAAATTTTAAAAAGCATTCTTAGAATGTATTGGAGATAACATCTATTTCCCAAAGCGCAGAAAGTAAAAAGAAGAAAAGCCATGTTAGACTTAATTCTGACTAACGGGGAGGAATTGGTTGAGAATCTGAAGTGAAGATAATTGGGTGAAAGTGACCATGAAATGAAAGATTTCATGATTCTAAGGAAGAGTAGAAATTACAGCAGCAGAATAATCACAATGGACTTCACAATGGATGACTCCAAGCTGGGAGGGGTTGCTAGCACTTCAGAGGACAGGATTAGAATTAAAAATGACCTTGACAAGTTGGAGAATTGGTCTGAAATCGACAAGATGAAATTCAATAAAGACAAGTGCGAAGTTCTTCCCTTAGGAAGGAAGAATCAAATGCACAAGCACAGAATGGGGACTAACTGGCTAGGCAATAGCGCTGCTGAGAAGGATCTCGAGGTTCGAGTGGGTCACAAACTGAGTATGAGTCAACAGTGTGATGCAGTTGAGAAGGCGGCTGATATCACCCTGGGGTGCTGTGACGGGGTATACAAACCCCACCGTGCTCAAGCAGAGGTTAGGGAACTGCGGCTCCACCACACCTGTAGGAAATGCTCCAACTGGAGGAGGAGTTAAAGGGAAGGGGAGCAGCTCTGTTGGTGGTAGCCCAGGGAAGAGAGCAGACCTGTGACCTGCTGCTCCAGCAGAGGGGAGCTGAGCTAAGGGAAAGGCAGAATCTCTCCCCTCGACAACTGTCCATATCCTCACTGAGGGAAGGGAGGACCTATTACAGAAGCAGCCTGGGAGCGGAGTATTCCCCTCTCCCATGGACTCTGAGTTTTGCTAATATCCCTTGCACTTGGCTTGGACGGCCCTAGAAGGGGAAGGCCCTAGGGCTGATCGGGCCCAGGAGGGGGCCATATTGCAGGAGGAGGCAGATGCCAATGTGAGAGAGGAAGAGAGCTACCCCCTGCACGCAGCCGCCAGAAGGTGCTGGGTGGTGAACGGACACTGTTCACACCATCCAAACCCAGACAGTGTCCTGGGGACAATCACGGGGAGGGGGTGGTAGGAATTGGCGCAGGGAGGGCAGCCTTAAGCTGCCCTGGTTGTCAGATAACTGAGAGCCCCCAAAGGGCCCTGGGTTGGAGCCCGGTGTAGTGGGAGGGCCTGGGCCCCCCTGCTAACAAATCCCCTGCACGTCACGTGCCTAAGCCCTGACCACTAGGGAACGTTCCCCTACCGACTAACCCCCGAGCGAGGACTGTCACAGGTGTGTTAACAGGAGTGTTGTGTGTAAGACGCAGGAGGTCATTGTCCTGCTTGGCTCGGCACTGGCGAGGTCTCAGCCAGAGTTCTGTGTCCAGGTCTGGGCACCGCACTTTCAGAAAGACGTGGATAAGATGGAGAGAGTCCAGAGGAGAGCAACAGAAATGATGAAAGGTTGAGAGAACCTGAGCTATGGGGAAAGGTCAAACAAACTGGGCATGTTTAGCCTTGAGAAAAGAGACTAAGGGCGACCTGAGAACAGTCTTCATGTATGTTCAGGGGTGTTATAAAGAGGACGGTGATCAATTGCCTCCATGTCCAGTGAAGGCAGGACAAGCAGCAATGGACTTAATCTGCAGCAAGGGAGAGTTAGGTCAGATATTAGGAGAAACTCTCTAACTCGCAGGGCAGGGAAGCTCTGGAACAGGCTCCCAAGGGAGGTTGTGGATTCCTTGTCACTGAAGGTTTTTAAGACCAGGTTGGACAGACACCTGTCAGGGATGATGTAGATTTGCTTGGTCCTGCCTCAGTATGGGGGGTGGGCCTGGACTAGGTGACCTCTGGAGGCCCCTTCCAGCCCCACATTTCTATGATTCTCTGATAGCTGAGGACCCATAGAGGGAAGGGAAGGCAGAGAGCTACTAACAGATGGGTGTGGGAGGGATTAGCAGTACGTGGAGTAACTGCAGAGTTTTGTGGGGCTATGTAAGGAAGGGGTTCAGAGGGAGAGAAATAGTCTGTGATCCCCAGATTTTTCTTTGGAGGGGAGAAAGAGGGAAGGTTTTGGGTTATCAAAAGCAGAGGGATCAAGTTGACGAAGAGGCACCATTCTGAGCCCAGTGAAAAGAGAAGTGACTCATTTGGGACATTTTCCCCACATTCTGTTCCCTGGGTAGGACGGGAGCCCCCACCCAGTGAGGAAAGTCATTCCCTAGGCAGCAGCAGGAGATGGGGGCAGGTTTAGCTCCCAGCCTGTCTCTCACACTCAGCCCCAGGAGGTCTCAGGGATTCCCTCTGCACTCAAGCCAGGGGCAGCAGGAAGCAGCCTCTCTCCTCGGGCAGGTGCTGAGCTGCTGGGTGGGGTCTGGATTAATGGGCTTGGTGGGGAAGGGGCTCTGGGGACACAGCTGTGGTGGCTTCTCCAACATGGTGGGGCTGGGGCCCCCTGAGTGAAATGAATTCACTTCCTATTGAGGGCAAACAGCACCTGGGGGCTCCAGCACTGGGGGCCGGGCAGGGACTCACCTTCCAGCAAGGGGCTAAAGATCAGGCAGCCGAGGAGACAGAGGCTGAAGTAGGCGACTGGCCGCATCTTCTCGCTTCCCCTGGGGGGAAAACACACCAGGGAGATGGGCCACAAGAACCTGAGACAGTCCCTGTGACCAGGAGAAAGCGTTTGTCAGGGGTGAGATAACAGATAAAATGAAAGCTATTTCCTCCCCCCCGCCCCCAGACCCCTCACCCCATCTGTCAGGACTGAGATCAGTGTGGCTGCAGGGAGCCCTCGTGCCCTGGCCCTGACTGAAAAGTTCCGGGCAGATCCCCAGGGAGTGTAAATCAGCTGGAGTCCCCCTGAAGTCGGTGGGCGGGATCCCCAGTGGGTACGGTCTGGTGTAGGGTGATTGAATCATAGAATCATGGAATCATAGAATATCAGGGTTGGAAGGGACCTCAGGAGGTCATCTAGTCCAACCCCCTACTCAAAAGCAGGACCCATCCCCAATTAAATCATCCCAGCCAGGGCGTTGTCAAGCCTGACCTTAAAAACTTCTGAGGAAGGAGATTCCACCACCTCCCTAGGCAACACATTCCAGTGTTTCACCACCCTCCTAGTGAAAAAGTTTTTTCTAATATCCAACCTAAACCTCCCCCACTGCAACTTGAGACCATTACTCCTTGTCCTGTTGTGACGAAGTGGGACTGTTCTTAATGTTTCCTCCGAATATTGTGGGGGTGCCTCAGTTTCCCCTATGCAGTTCTTAAGTATCTAGGTGGTGGGGTAAGGGTGTATGATCATTGCAGAGCCCTAGAGGGCAGGTGTGTGCAGGGGTCTGGACACAGAGAATGGCCGACACCCTGTTTCCTGGCAACTGATGGCCTGGGCCCTTCCCCCCCCTGCAAGGTGAAAGCTGAAGGTTTGGAGAACAAAGGAATCAGGTGACCACCTGGCCCCGGAAAGGAACAAAGCCCAGAGGAGGAGGGGCTGGAGGAAGTTTCAGTTGGGGGCTGGCTGGAGACATGGAGTGAAGTGCAGACGTGGTTGTCTGGCTCACTGCCCCCCAAAATGGACCCAGCTGAGGGGTCCCGTTCTCTGCACCTGCAAGCTCTGTTTTAGACCATGTTCCTGTCGTCTAATAAACCTCTGTTCTACTGGCTGGCTGAGAGTCACGTCTGACTGCGGAGTTGGGGGGCAGGACCCTCTGGCTTCCCCAGGAGCCCCGCCTGAGCGGACTCGCTGTGGGAAGCGCACGGAGGGGCAGAGGATGCTGAATGCTCCGAGGTCAGACCCAGGAAGGGGGAAGCTGGGTGAGCTGTGTGTCCTGCAGACAGGCTGCTCACAGAAAGGAGACTGCCCCAGAGTCCTGACTGGCTTCATGGGGAGCACTTCCAGAGCATCGCCCAGGGACTCTGTGACACCTGTCCACTGGGGTCAGACCCCCAGCGGGTGGGCGTTGCTCAGATTTGTTAGAATCACCGGGGCTAGAACCGCACTGAGTGTAAACTAGCCGCAGCTCCATGGGAGTCACACCAGCTCGGGATCAAGCCCTCATCAGTGCAGGGTAAAATGGCAACTTCTAATTCCTAGCCCTCAAGCCCAGGGAAGCACTTGGCCCATCACGCACCCTGTGCTTGGCTCATCAGTGCCCTGCATTGGGTGTTGTCATTTACACCTGTGCAAAGAGACTCTGAAATGCTCCATCCTCCCTGGGTGATGATTTACACGTACCGGACGCTGGTGTAAATGGTGACGTGTGGTGCCAGGGACAATCAGGCCCATGAGAATTGGGTTATAACTTGAGGGCGCTGCCGGCGTCCAAGGTATTGGCCCTGTTCTGGGCTGCCCACGCTCCCTCGTGTCTGTCTCTCTGCTGCATTTCAAGGGAGCCCATTACCAGGGTATGTAGGTGCTGACCATGGCCAAATGAAAGCCGCGTAAGACTTGCACCCGAAGTGATTCTGTTCTCACATTTCTGTTGCTTGGCTGCTTGTATCTGGGACGACTGAGACTGTTTATAGGCCGGGCATGGCACCGACCCTTTGAAGCATGACACCTGGCAACTTCACTCATCTCATTTCCAAGGACCAGCTGACTCCTAATGTGAATTTTATGCATAGATTGCAAGGCCAGGAAGGACCATTGTGATCACCTGGTCTGACCCCCCTGTAAAACACAGGCCAGAGACCTGCCCCATAATAATGCCTAGAGCAGAGCTTTTAGAAAAACATCCAATGTTGATTTTAAAATTGCCCATGATGGAGAATCCACCACGACCCTGAGGAAGTTGTTCCAGTTACTCTCACTGGTAACAATTTCTGCCTCATTTCCAGTCTGAATTTGTCTAGCTTCAGCTCCCAGCCATTGGATCATGTTCCACCTTTGTCTGCAAGACTGGTGAGCCCGTTGCTAAATATCTGTTCCCCATGTAGGTACTTATAGACTGGAATTAAGTCCCCCCTTAACCTTCTTTTTGTTCAGCTAAACAGATAAGGCAGGTTCTCTAATCCTTTAATCCTTCCCTTGGCTTTTCTCTGACCCCTCTCCAAATTATCAACATCCTTCTTGAATCATGGACACCAGAACGGGGCACAGGATCCCACCAGCAGTCGCACCAGTGCCAAACACAGATGTAGAATAACCTCTTTGCTCCCACTTCCGATTCCCCTGGTTTTGTATCCCAGGTTTGCATTAGTCCTTTCGGCCACAGCATTGCAATGGGAGCTCATGTTCAGCTGGTTATCCAGCCCCACCCCCAAATCTTTTACAGAGTTCCTGGTTCCCAAGACAGAGGCCCCCATCCTGTAAGTCTGGCCTGTGTTGTGTGTTCCTAGATGTCGGCATTTAGGGCCTCTGTGTTACCGCACGGCCGCAGCAAGGGTGAGCTTCGCTGGAGATTAGACTGTTTGTCAGCTCCCTGCCATGCAGGCCTCCTCAGCTGTGGGGGCTTCTCCCACCCTTCCTGATCTGCTATGGGGGTTTCCCCCACCCTCCCTGCTCCATCGGAGTGGGGGCTGGGAGGGCTTATGAAACATCCCTGGGGTGGGGGAGGGCCAAAGGGGGATGAGGGCCAGGTGCCACCCTGCAGGGGGTGATGTGCCAGAACTCACAAAGGGGGAGACACCCGGTTCAGTGCCAGCCGGGGAGCATGGGGCCCTTGGCACTGCTCTCTGGGACAGGATGCTCAGCTCCAGACCATGTCGGGTGTGGGGCAGGGCTGTGGGTGGTGGAGAGCCGGGTGGACCCTGTCCCAGGGCCCAGGCAGCTCACACAGGGCAAGTCTGGCCGCCAGGCCTCATCCCAGCGATTGGCTGCCGAGTGCCCAGCACCCAGCGTGGAGGGGAGAAGGAAGGAGGGGTCAGGGACTCACCTGTCTGTCTGTCTGTCGGTCGGTCTAGGCAGCTGGTCCAGAGCACTGGGGTACTGTGCCAGGTGCTGGGTCCCCGGGGAGTTTATAGCCCAGCGGGGTTGGGCGGGGGGAGGGAGGAGGGTGAATTTGGAAATGGGACCAGATGTGACAGTTCAAACCGAGTGAGGACACAGATAAGAGATGGCAATCTGCCCCCTGCTTCTGCTCAGCTTCCTGCTGCCCCCTGCGGTGCCCTGGAGTGGCTTGTGGGGCCAGCGTTATCTCTGCTGAGTCACTGCCTGGCGCTGGGGAGGGGGCCCTGGGACAGGGGCTGAGGCAGACGGCCGGCCCAGAGGGGCACATGGGGCAGGATTCCTGCAGAGACAGCATGGGGGGGGACACAGCAATGGTTTAACTTCCTGCCTGAGTGACCCACTGCACCCCCCCCCCGTTCCCAAGCACCCAGAGGTGAGCACCCACCAACCACCCACACCTGTCCCTGAGCACCCAGCGGTGAGCAATCCACCCCTGCACAGCTGTCTCACAGCCCCCCCATCCACCCGTCCCAGGGGTCAGGTGCTGTAATATCCTGCTGCCCCAGGGTTTCTGCTGAAAACCTTTTCCTCCCCAAAAACTTGCTCAGGCTCTGCCTCTGCATGGAGCTGTCATTCATTTGCTGGCTGTTTGACACCCACGTTGTGTTACAGGGCAAATGTCACCCACCCTCATCGCTCATAGCCATAAGGGATTGATTCCTGGAACAGCCCCTCTGGGAGTTGCTGAGGAGACCAGGGTGTCCTGGTTAGTGGTGGGAACAGCCCAAGGTCCCCAGAGTTCGGCAGCTGATTCAATTATGCAGACAGGCCAGGGCCCCACCACCTGGCACTGGGAGCTCTGAGGGCTGATCTCTTCCTGCCCAGGCTCCAGGGCCAGCCATACTCAAGTTGCTCCCCAGCACCAGGTACAACTGACCAGAGGGTCCTGCTGTCCCACCTCCCAGATGGAGCAGGGGCATTGCACTGAGGTGGCTTCCGCCATCCCTCTCAGGCAGCACCCACAGGCCTGTGACGGGCACCAGATCCTGCCCTCCCAGTGCCCCACATCTCTTCTAGAACATCCGACAGGGAGCCAGCCTCTCCCCATCCTGATCAGCACCCACCCCACGCTGCTAGGGATACGGGCCGAGGAGTCAGGCCCAGAGCTCCCCTGCACAGACCGTTATGGGAGGTGCCATTTTATTGCCCCATTAAGAGGTGACAGTTGCTGCCACAATTGCAATTCCCTTAGTCATGCAACCGTTGTGACCAGTTAGGACCGACCCTGAGTGAGCAACAGACCGAGAGGACAATGAGCTGAGATAAGAAAGTGCTGGCTCCTTGCCCTGGCAGGGGGGAGGATCTCGCTGCTCTCTGGGATAGCCAGCTTCCCCTGACTCTCCCTGCGGTCCAATACAGCTCAGTATGGCTTGGCCTTTGCGTTAGCCTTGGCCAGCTGCTGCTGTGCAGGGCAAGGCCACTGCTGGCTTCTGCCTTTGTGTTTAGTGGTGGCTTTAAATAGTTGTTCAAAACACCAAGAGTTTGGGAAAGGCACCTTTTCTACGAGGCTTTGTGACGCAGGCAGAGCGGATGCCAACTCAGGCCACGGCTCCGGGCCCCACTGAACACTGACTAATGCATAGCTGGCAACCAGTCCGGCGCATCCGGGGTTCGTGTTGTTACACGAGGTGTTATAGCTACAAGAACGTGTGTTGTGTTCAGACTTTATGAAATGCTTGTAGGACGCTGCATGAACTAATCTTACCGAGAACACCGGAACCCCGTGGTCTCAGGTTATGTTAACCGTGATGGCGTAAGGCATGGTCTACACGACCAAGTTAGGTCGACGCAAGGCTGCTTAGGTCAACCTAACCCTGTAAGCATCTACACTAAAACGTTTCTCCCAGCGATGTCACTCACCCACTACGCCGACTTAATAACTCCACCTCCGCAGAGGGCGTGGCACCTAGGTTGACATAGAGAGTCAACACAGTGTCATTCTAGACACTACGTGACTTATGCTGGCGTTGGCGGCTTCCAGGACTTGTCCCAGAATTCCCTACCATGGCTTCAGGCCTCAGAGATTCAGCAGCTGCCTTATAATTCTCCACCAGGCTCAGCACATCAGCCAGCACCTTGGGGATAGGCCGCACTAACCACTCCTGCCCCACAGCCAGGAGGAGCTGTGTGAATTACCCCAGCCACCGGCCACCCAGCCACCGGCCACCCAGACCACGGTTCCGGCTGGAGTCAAAGCCGACAACATTTCTAAAGCGTCTGGGCCAGTGCTCAAGATCAGGACCTCCGTGTGGTTTTCTCCCAGCGAAAGCACTCTCGGGTTTTGGCTAAGGTGACTGAGACGGCAATAGTCAGGCATGGCCATGGCATCAAGGCCACGATACGGGGCTTTTGCCAGCTCCCGCAGACGGGGTGCCCACAAACAGTGCCATAACTAGGGATTTTAGCACCCGGGATGAGCAACCATATAGGAACCCCTGACTAGAGTCCTGAGTGGGACCTTTTTTTAATCCTGCCATTCCACCCCATGGGACGGGAATGGGATTAAAAGAATAGTTCTCCCACACCGCAAACAACGTGAACGCCCTGGCAAGCAGCCACTGCTCTCCGTCCGCCGTGCTCTGAAGGCAGCGCCGCCATCATCAGCTGCACAGAAGCACGGGTAGGCCACGCCAGCCTTATTTGTGGGCTCCTTCGGAGCTGGCTTTGCTGGAGCGTGGCGGCCGCTGGATGTCTGCCCAGCTCTGAAGGCAGCGCTGCCATTAGCAACAGCTCGGACGTCCAGGTGGCGAGGTATTATATCGCACCCTGACTTCTGCGCCCAGAGCTGGGTGGCCGGAGAGCAGTGGCTGCCGGCTGGCCACCAGCTCGGAAGGCAGCACCGCGGCCAGCAGGAGCTCAATAGTAAGGGTGGCGTTGTACGGCGAGGCCGCACTTCCTTCGGTGCCCCCGCCCGCAGCAGCGCGGAGGGCAGGGAGGCAGGTACGGCTGCTATTTCTTCTGCACTGCTTCTCAACGTGGCGCGGCCCTCAGAGATGGGCGGCCAGGCGGCAGTGGCCACTGGCTGTCCACCCACCTCTGAAGGCAGCGCTGTAGCCAGCGGCACGGACAGAGGAGTGGCACGGGACGTATCGCTCTCTTTGTGTCCACGCTGCTGCACGGGGGGGTACCGCCTTCAGTGCTGGGCACCTGGATAATGGGAGCCAGATCTGAAGCCAGAAGCAGGAGGGAAGTAAGGGTGGGGCTGGGTTTAGCTTTGAAAACTCATGGCAATCAGGGGAGGTCCCGGACAATTGGAAAAAGGCTAATGCAGTGCCCATCGTTAAAAAAGGGAAGACAGAGAACCCGGGAAACTACAGACTGGTCAGCCTCACCTCAGTCCCTGGAAAAATCGGGGAGCAGGTCCTCAAGGAATCAATTCTGAAGCACTTAGAGGAGAGGAAAGTGATCAGGAACAGTCAGCATGGATTCACCAGGGGCAAGTCATGCCTGACTAATCTAATTGCCTTCTATGACGAGATAACTGGTTCTCTGGATGAAGGGAAAGCAGTGGATGTATTGTTTCTTGACTTTAGCAAAGCTTTTGACACGGTCTCCCACAGTATTCTTGTCAGCAAGTTAAGGAAGTATGGGCTGGATGAATGCACTATAAGGTGGGTAGAGAGCTGGCTAGATTGTCGGGCTCAACGGGTAGTGATCAATGGCTCCACGTCTAGTTGGCAGCCGGACTCAAGTGGAGTGCCCCAAGGGTCGGTCCTGGAGCCGGTTTTGTTCAATATCTTCATAAATGATCCGGAGGGTGGTGTGGATTGCACCCTCAGCAAGTTTGCAGATGACACTAAACTGGGAGGAGAGGTAGATACGCTGGAGGGTAGGGATAGGATACAGAGGGACCTAGACAAATTGGAGGATTGGGCCAAAAGAAATCTGATGAGGTTCAATAAGGATAAGTGCAGGGTCCTGCACTTAGGACGGAAGAACCCAATGCGCCGCTACAGACTAGGGACCGAATGGCTAGGCAGCAGTTCTGCGGAAAAGGACCTAGGGGTGACAGTGGACGAGAAGCTGGATATGAGTCAGCAGTGTGCCCTTGTTGCCAAGAAGGCCAATGGCATTTTGGGATGTATAAGTAGGGGCATAGCGAGCAGATCGAGGGACGTGATCGTTCCCCTCTATTCGACATTGGTGAGGCCTCATCTGGAGTACTGTGTCCAGTTTTGGGCCCCACACTTCAAGAAGGATGTGGATAAATTGGAGAGAGTCCAGCGAAGGGCAACAAAAATGATTAGGAGTCTGGAACACATGAGTTATGAGGAGAGGCTGAGGGAACTGGGATTGTTTAGCCTGCAGAAGAGAAGAATGAGGGGGGATTTGATAGCTGCTTTCAACTACCTGAAAGGGGGTTCCAAAGAGGATGGCTCTAGACTATTCTCAGTGGTAGAAGAGGACAGGACAAGGAGTAATGGTCTCAAGTTGCAGTGGGGGAGGTTTAGATTGGATATTAGGAAAAACTTTTTCACTAAGAGGGTGGTGAAACACTGGAATGCGTTACCTAGGGAGGTGGTAGAATCTCCTTCCTTAGAGGTTTTTAAGGTCAGGCTTGACAAAGCCCTGGCTGGGATGATTTAACTGGGAATTGGTCCTGCTTCGAGCAGGGGGTTGGACTAGATGACCTTCTGGGGTCCCTTCCAACCCTGATATTCTATGATTCTATGATACCCAGGGTTAACTGGGTAGGGACCCAGCTGGACGAGGGGCAGACGACCCAGGCAAGGGGGGCTACCAGTTTACCACCTGCTCAGGAGGGAAGAGTACCCCAGGCCAGCTCCGCCAGAGGGCTGGAGGCTCTGGACTCAGGGTGCTCGGTTTACAGGGTGGGCGCGGGGCTGTCCCTCCGGAGACAGTGCCTTGTACCCCTGGAGGTGGATGGGAGGAAGGTCAATGGATACTGGGATACGGGCGCGGAGGTGACGCTGGCCCGGCCTGAGGTGGTGGCCCCAGATCGGGTGGTGCCCAACACCTACCTGACCCTGACAGGGGTGGGCGGGACCCCATTTAAGGTGCC